GTGTGTGTGTGTGTGTGTGTGTGTGTGTGTGTGTGTGTGTGTGTGTGATTTTCCTCCCCTTCTTTCCTTTTCCTTTTCTCCAGTTGCCGACTGCCATCAGCACTGGCCCCCTGCACCTAACAGCTGTACCAGCCCCTAGTTTCCAACTCTGCCCCACCTCAGTTTACCCTGAATCTCAAAGCTGGTCTTTGACACCAAAGCCAAGAACAGGGCAATGGTGGCCACTAGGCCCCAACTCAAGAAGCCCCAGAGAGGAGCAGTGAGGCCCTCCTCTGGATAACCAGCAGATTATATCCAATGCTAATTCCTACTAGGGCCTGAAGAAGAATACCTCTGGATTCTAGATCCTTCCTGTTATGTTGGTTTTGAGTGTGGTGGGGGTTGATCACCTCACAGAGTTTGAAGAACATACTTCAACTGTAAGAAGTGGTTTGTAAGCAACCATCGGCATTTATAGAAATCTGTTTGCACATCAGGCTGCGGCAACGAGTAGCAAACAATGTCTTCTTATCTGTTTGATGTTGCAGTAAATTGGCTAGATCACAGCCGGACATTCAGAGAGCAAGGCGTGGATGAGAATGAGACATTGCTGCTTCGACGGAAGTTCTTTTACTCGGATCAGAATGTGGACTCGAGAGACCCAGTGCAGTTGAACTTGCTTTATGTCCAGGTATGGTATTTACTGATCAGACGACAGGTGGCTGTGGTGGTGAGTGCTAATTGACAATCTAACCGGATTTGGGGAAAGAAATCTTAATAAGATGTTGTCTAGCTTAAATTGGCCGATGGGTGTGTCTTGATAGTGTTGTAATAGAAAGATCCACCAACTGTGGGTGGCATTATTCCCTAGGCAGCAGATTTTTGGTTGGATAAGAGAGGAGAAAGCAGGCTCAGAGCTAGCATACACCTCTTGACTGTGGATGTAAAGTGCTAAGTTGCTGCAAATGACTGTCCATCAGGGGTGGACTGGAACCCAAGACTATGAGCCACGTAAACTCCTACTTTGTTTAGTCACCTTTGTTAGAGAATTTTATCACAGCAGCAGAAAAGAAACTTATTATGTGTCCTTCAGAGGACTTCTGCCTAGTCTTGTGGTAAGTAGGTATTATTTCTGGCTCCCACACACCAAAAGGAGTCTAGAGTCCAGGGGTGCTGTTCTTCAGGCTCTGGTGGGAATTAGCATTGGGTATAATCTTCTGGGCCTTCCTGGTCCTCTCTGAGGCATCATGGGTTGGGACCCAGTGGTCGTCACTGCACTCTTCCTGGCCTTAGGAGACAGTTGTGTTCGTTTAGCCAACCATCATTTCACAAGCCTTAGAATACAAAGGAATATTGGCCCGAAAATCAGTACTTCTCATTAACTCCGAACTACCCTCTCAGTCACCTCTCAAGGTCTTTGTTCTTAACTAATTGTTTATGCTAGAAAATTCCTTAATACCCGAGTTGTGAACTCGCAGCGTATGGTGTGGGCTTTGCACTTGGTTGCCTGAGGGCTTCTTTTAATCCGAGGAAAATACTACCCATGTTTCTTTAGAATTTTTTCCCACTTCAAATTCCTCCAGTCCTTGCTTTTACCTAGTGTCCGCTCTTAGAGATAATGCAGGGTTTATAGGCTGTAGCGCTACCTTCCACCTGTATTGAAAGTAAGAAATTCATTCATGTGGGCATCTTCTTATATTTGCAAATCCCCTTACCCGTTGCATTCTTGTTTGTCTGTTTACTGCATCTACTCTTGGATTTAACTGGCAGAATGGGTAGTTACAACACACTGGGAGCCCACTGAAGCTCTGCGATGCTTAGTATCTGCTGACTCCTGTGGAAGAACAGATCACAGTGAATGAGGCTGGGAGGCAGAAAGGAAGGCAGCTAGCAGGGCAGTCAGAAGAGCCTTACACATTTAGAGCCCAGAGGGATAGCGGAGAGTGTACATCTCAGAGTGTTCTGGCTAGAGCAAAGGAAGACAGAAGCCCGAGTGATAAATGCCAACAGCCCCATGTTTCAGGAGAGAGGGAGCAAGACTTTTCAGTGTAGCGAGTGCCCATTGTAAAATTCTTCATTGCTGGCCCCTTGCTGCATGGCTCCAGGCAGCACTCCTGTCTGAGTGTGGGAATACATATCTGTCTCTCTCCTTGTAGGTCACTGGTCCTAGAATGATTGCAATGGTTTTGCCTCTTCGTGGATATTTTTCTTGCTAGCCTTATGACTTGGGCTCAGGTGGAACAAATCGTGTTTCTAAGTCAACCCATATGACTCCAAGCATTTCAAAGGATTCCCATTGTCTCTTCCTTTCTTCATTTTTCATAGTCTCAGCTGTCTTCTGATATTATCAGTAGGGTTTAATTTGTGTGTGTGTGTGTGTGTGTGTGTGTGTGTGTGTGATTTGATAATTGGTGACTGTAGTGCTAATGTCCTACAGCTATTGACCAGTGTTGGAGGAGAATCCAAAAGCTTGTTTGCTTGTAGCCTTGATTCTACCTCACCCCAACATTCCCCACGTCCTAATCAGTCATCTGCAGTATGTGTTCTGAGTCAGGAATATGAAACTCGGGAGAAGTGCGATGCTTTCCAGACCCCTGAACTTCTTCCTTCTTGTGTTTCAGGCTCGGGATGACATCTTGAATGGCTCTCACCCTGTCTCCTTCGAGAAGGCATGTGAGTTTGGTGGGTTCCAAGCCCAGATCCAGTTTGGCCCTCACGTGGAACATAAGCACAAGCCCGGATTCTTAGAGTAAGTCTCCCGCCCCGTTCTTCCCCTTCTCCCTTCTTTTCTCCTCTCTCTGTTTGCTTGTGAGAACGTTGACATTCACTCAACTGAGTTTAGAACCCAAGATGCAGACTGTTGTTAGTAAAGATACGTAAAAGTACAGAACGGTGACTGTCAACGAGATTCGTTCTCCATTCCCACGGCAGACGATTCTTTCCCTGCTGGAGAGCCTACCACACTTGCTCAGTTGGTCCCCACATCTGGCTTGTTTTAAATGTTGGACCTTCAAGTAGACTAACGGCTACGCTAGCTCACCAGCCATGTTCTGAATTCTTTATTAGAATTTCAAGACTTCTTAGTCACTTTGAGAGCCACAGTGTGTACTCGCAGAACCGGCTGGAGCCTTACCTTCCATTTGGTCTTTGGTTCTCTTTTCTAGAATGATGGGGTAGTTTCTTTTCCCTAGCTCTGTACTCTGGTGTCTCCATAAGAAAGCTGACCCTGCAGATGCACTGTGACTATGTGGAACCTGGGTGTTTGGCTTCGCTTTCTTGGGAATACCCTGCTAGACAGTCTGCTGCTTCCCTGGGGGTGCCTTCCCTTGCCGTAGATCTAGACTTCCCTAGGGGCCTTTCTGTATTGCTTTCTCTGATCATGTTTGATATCTGTGTCTTCGCTCTCCTTCCCCTTCTGTCTCCATCTATATGAAGCATTTGGATGAGGGAAAAAATCTCCCGAGTCTCATCAGTATCCCGTTGTCACTTAGAATGTGACTTGAGGGAGGTGAGAAGTGGGAACAGTATGTGAGCACTGCCAGCAGAAGATTGACCCATGTCAAGATGTCATCTGATGATGGTGGCTTGAGGGAGACAGTAAGGCAAGCCGTTATCTGGCCCTTTGCATTCACTTTGGTTGAAGCAGCCTATGCCCTTGAGAAAGGAAACCCAACGTTTCTCCTGGGCAATGTCAGACAATACGACTTGCTATGTGGTCCAAGCTGAGCTGTTAAAGGCAAGACACTACGATTCTAGGTTGAGTTAATGAACCCCGGGAGCTTTTGCAATATGATGCTTTCTGCTATAATATACATTCAGCGACCTTGATTCTGAGGCGGCCTTGACCAGTTCCTGTTACTATATTCAGTATTTCCCAGATGAGTTATATGGCCAAGTGTCCCTCTGGGCCCATTTCTCCACACTGGACTGGCTTCCTTCCGCAAGCACCTAGGGAAGTCAGCCTTTCTGTTCTGTGACACTGCATGCCTTGCTGAAGACTCCATGCTTGGGTTTTTATAGATTTCTCATTCTCACATTCAAACCTCACTCTTCTGCCGTCTCTCAGCTTTGTTCTGCAGTAACTGCTAATGAATAGGAGAAAGTGGGGCGGGGTGGCGTGTGTGCAGGTTAGCGAGACCAGGACACTGAGTAAAGTACTTCCCTTGTTTTAGGTCTTCTTACCTACAGCCATGCATGAGCCTGGTAGGCAAGAGATCTAACCAGAAGCCTAGGAGAGTCTGATGTCATTCTAGTCCTCCCATGCGGTCCTCCCATGCGGTCCTCCCATGTGGGCCCTTCCTCAGTGTGGGGCAGCTAATTCTCAGGGTCTCACTATAACTGGGAAAGGTCAGACTGTATGTGAAAAGAAGTTAGCAGAGGAGAAAATGCATTCATTTCAAGAGTTTTCTTCAACCAGGGCTGGGGAGATGGCCCAGTGGTTAAGGCACTGGCCACACGAGCATGAGAACCTGGGTTAAAAAACGAAAATAAAATCCTGTGCTTGCTGGTGTGCTCCAGTAAGCCTAGCATGGATAGGCAGAGACAGGAGGGTCCCTGGAGCTCACTGACCAGTCTGTGTGCATCAGTAGGTGACTATGTGAGCACTGTGTTTCAAGCACTAACGTGGAGCTAGATAGAGGCAAACTTCCAACATGAACCTCTGGCTCCCACAGGCGTAAACAAACAAACAAGACCATAAATAATATGCACACACACACACACATTCTCTCTCTCTCTCTCTCACACACACACACACACACACACACATACACACATACACACACACACACACGCAGTCACACACTCCTTTGGCCTTCATGATATCATATGTTATGTTACCTGGATTGTGACAGGATTCCTTTCCTTTGCTGCTGGCCACGCATTCAGCAGTGATTCTTGCTTTGGTCTGATGAACGTCACTGCAGTCCGGTCTTGTAAGTCGCCTACTCACACCAACCACATCGTCTTTCCTTGGCCACCTGACCATCTGACAGCCGATGTAAGGTGGTTATATTGCTTCAGACTTTCCTTTCCCGAGATGAGTCCAGCACCTCTCAGTGGTTCGTGTCCCCTTGCTCTGATGCTAAATTAAAATAAGCCCATTATGCCTAGTAGCAATTATCTCTCCTCTTGCATTTGATTTAGTTTTTAATTAGACCAGATCTAGTCTAGGTAATGAAGCTTTCTCATTTACTGTAGCTTCTTAATTGAACATGTTTCTGTTCCTACTGTATCAGTGGAAATCCTTAGGAGGTGAGACCCTTCTTAATTAAAACAAACCTGCAGGGCCATACTGCTGATTTATACATTGAATGTTGGATGTTGTTTTTCCCTAGGCTGTCCCTGGTGATGGGCTAGACCTGGGATAGGAGACCTGGGTGTATATGGTGTGTCTCTGTCTGTGTGTGTATTTGCATAACACTGTGACCTCTAACTATTCACCCAAACAATGAAGAATTTACAAACCTAACAGTGGGAAAGTTGGACTTGTAAGAGGACCAGGCTGAAGAGAGCCCCTGGGGATATCAACCATGGAACTGGATGAACATAGTGTGAAGGAGTGTAGCCAATGAGGACTGTAAGTTTTACTGTAATTTAAAAAAAAAGTTTTTGTTTAGAATTTGTGTATCATATCAATACGGTGGGACATTTTTATAAAAATGTCTCCTAGCTCTCTTTAAACTTTTCAAGTGATTTCCAGACTCAGTACCACATTAATGACGATATTTATTTTGAAAAACAGAAACCAGTGCCCAGGCGTGGTGGTGTATGCCTGGAATCCTAGCACTCAGGATGATCTCTGTAAGCTGGGGCCCAGCCTGGACTACTTAGCAAGGGTTAGGCTACCCTGTACTATATAGCAAGATCCTGTCTCAAGAAGGAAGGTAGAGAAGGTGGGAGAGGGAAGTCAAGGAAAGAAGAAAGAAAGCGGGCTGGCAAGATGACAAAATGAGTAAAGACACTGTCCACACAGCTTGACAGCCTGGATTCAGTCATCAGAGCCCACGCCCACAGTGCAGGAGAGAGCTAACTCCACAGAGTTGTTCTCTGACCTCCGCATGTATTGTGACGTGTATGTGCCTGTGTGTGTGTATGCACACACAATCTTAAATTAAAAGAGGAAATAAGCATCAGAGACAGACCTTTATGTTTTCAGGTGAATAAAGACGACTCAACAGGACGTCTACTTGGTATATGGGATAGTACGTCCCAGAGAGAACCAGCCAGGCCCGAGAGCTGGAAGCAAAGGAGATCCAGGTCTCCCTGTTTGACTCTGATAAGCTTTATCTACCTGGTAGATTTCCTTATGTCATACACAGAGAACTCCAGGAAGGAACATTATATCAGAGCATGAGGAAACTCTCACAGAACATGAAGAATCTTGGAATTGCTTTATGCTTTTCTGTGCTTAGAAAATGAATATAGACAGTACGATATGCGTGGGGCTGGAGAGACCATTCAGCCGTTAAGAGCACTTTGGCCGCTCTTGCAGAGGATCTGGGTTCGGTTCCCAGCACCCACAACCATCTGTGACTTCCGTTCTAACAGGTACTACATGCACATGGTGCACATGCGCACACACAAGCAAGCGTTCATACATACAGAATAAAAATGAATCTCTACTTTTTTTTTCAAAAAAAAGATATTTTAATTTTAAAAAATGAGATTATAATATAATTCATTTCTACCTCCCCGTTCCTTCCTCCAGACCCTCCCACATACTTCCTTGTTCACTTGTAAATTCATGGCCACTTTCTTTCATTACTTGTTACTATATATGTCTATGTATAGACATATATAGTCCTAAATATAAGCCGCTGAGTCCATATATGTTGCATGTATGTATGTTTTTCCTAGCTGACGATTTGATAAATAAGTAAATCTTTGAAAACGAAGCAGCAGCATTGTTCTTTAATTCACTGAATGCTAGCGTGTATGTGAGGCTGCGCTCGCGTAGAGAAGACACAGGGAGACACCACATACTCATTCTTTGATGATTTCTCAGGTCTACTTTGTATGATTATTTTAAAGTTTATTCTTAGTATTTATATGTCTGTGCATGCGTTTGTGCGTGTGTAAGTAGGAGCAGAGACCAGAGGAAGGTGTCAGGTCTCTTGGAGTTGAGGGTCACAGGATTTTGTCAGCCAGTTGACGTTTGTGCTTTCGTCTGAGCTACAGGTCCCACGGAACAGCAGCAAGCGCTTTTAACCGCTGAGCCATTTCTATGAAGTTGATTGCAGGGTGGGCTATTCAGATACTGAGCAGGAACTGTGTCGAGAAAGGTGGGAAGGGTCTGGTGCAGGAAGTGATGCTGCTGAGAGAGACTGACACGGAACACGTCAATCTGAAGAACGGAGAAATCTGCAGCAGATTGCAACATTGTAACAAAGACTCCCTTCCTGAATCATTGTAACAATGACTCCCTTCCTGACCCTTGAAAGCCTGCGGCAAATATAAGGAGTGTCAAGTAAAAGCCTTCCATAGGCCCTTTGTGTTGGTGAGAGTTACCATAAACTTGAGACCTTAGGTCGTCTCTTGTAGGTGTGACTTGAATGGAGGTCATGCTAGATTAGTGTAGAGTTCACTACCTGAATCTTTTCCGTATATTAGTGTGTTTGAAGTTGTTTATAATCAAATCATTGATGGGCTGCCTATGTGGAAGGGCTTGGGTTCAGGTCTCAGCATGGCAAAATTATAAACTACGGAGAGCTGGGGGTTTAGCTCAATTGGTAGGGTGCTTGTTTAGCA